ACACTCACTTTGTGGTATCTTTCAGAGGTTTATGCTCATAAAGCCATTCTGCAACAGAGGAGTCCTCCTCAGGGTCCAGCTCCATCTGGATCGCCTCAAGAGGCTCAACATCCAGGATGTTGTCCGCATAATCCAACGGAGGCTCTTCATCATCAAATGGGGGGAAACGCATGCGCTTGAAGTGCCGCCTGTCTCGCTTCTCACGACGCATCATGATCCACATCGTGCTGGAAAAAAAAAAGTTTTCTGTAATTATTACAGCCATACAGATATATAATTTTTCTGCAAAAAAACAAACAAACAAATATGGAGCTTTCAAAACAGCATCAGAAAAAAAGACAATTTTACACAAAATGTGCAGCCCTAAGTTTCAGTCTCTGCTCTGAAAGTTATGCCATTGAACACCATCACCTACCCCCACTGAGCAATGTACACCGGCTCAATCACCCATGGGATTTCGTTTACAAAGGAAATGGCGCCTGTGATGTGGTAGAGCACAGGAACATCTCTGATTTGCTCCCAGGGCATGGGCATGTTCTCCAGCAGTTTGAGCACTGCATGGGGCATATATTTCAGGGCCCTGCAGACAAAAGCAACATATACCATTAATAATGAACATACATAAATATCGGTTACCTAGTCCAGTGTTTCCCAACCGGGGTGCCGTCTGTCGAGAGCAGGGGTGCAGTGTAAAAAAATCATTTTGTAATATTTTTAAATTGCTAAAATGTTCAAAAAAGCATCTATTATATAATATCCATTTCTGATGTCGCCAATAATTAGAGACGCACCGAAATTCCGGCTGCCGAAAATTAGTTCACCGCTCAGGTTTCACTTTCACGTGGTGTGACGCTCTGCGTATTATCCCGCTCTATGCGTGTGCACTCCGCTCAGTCGCTCCACTCGTATACCGTTCATGCGAATCGGAACAGAAGTCCACTCAAAAATCGAGCCGACAGGAAACATGGATGTAGTACAGTATTGTTTCTGTCTGCAATAGCCCTACTGTGTTGTAACATGGTGTGGTATATGGGCAACTCTGGTAACGCTGCCCTCTCATTCATTGATCTGCTAACCGCATATTATGCTCACGTGTTCTGATAATAATAGCTTTCTAGGACTAAACATTATTTGGATAATTGGTAAAAAAAAAAGTTAAATATCTTATCCCTACTGTTATACCTACCCGAAAAACAAAAAATCAATTTATTTAATTCGAAGACCTGTCGTTATTTTTTATTTGTGCTATCATTATTAATTTCTTTATTTGTTCTTATTTTATTACTGACTGCTTACTTGTCATTTTTTATTCAATTCAAAGTTTGAAATCAAGCTATCTCGTGCTACTGCACCAAAATTACCCCACTGTAAAATTAAAAAAACACTGAGTGAGCAAAAATTTGTGAGATAGCTAGTTATAATGGTAATTAAATAATGTTTACATATGTATAAAAGCCTACATTAAAACCTGTCATATAAATTGGTCTCTTCATTAGAAATTAGCTGATTATCACCATTGATGGACCAAGTTTTTTAATAATATTAAAAATATCTGTATGACATTATATTCTGCAGTTCTTCCCTGTTGTACCGAATATCTATACCTTTCAAATGATCACATCGAAGTTAGAAATTCAAATATTGTGACAAAATTAATTTTGTAGGGTGCCACAAGTTTGTTAAAATTTCCAAAGGGTGCCGCGACTAAAAAAAGGTTGGGAAACACTGACCTAGTCAATAACACAAATGGTCTTACCCAAGGTAGACCCTCTTGTCATGACGAAATTTCCTGTTCGTCATGTCACCATGATCCCTGATGATTTTGCGCACATGCTCTGGTGGCATGTCCTCTTTCTGAGCATCCACAAAGCCAAATTTCCTCTTCTCTGAATAGCGTTTGGCCTGAAGCTGCTGCCATTTCCGAGCTGCAACAGCAAGGTTACCCAAACAAAAGCAAATCATGTCACTAAACATTCAAAGTACACAAAGCAAGAACAGTGGATGTGATCGAGCCATGTGAGCGCACCTTTCTCTTGCAGTTTCTCCTCAGTCATGTAATCTGGTACTGGAGCAACAGCAGGAGGAGGTGGAGGAACACCTGGAGGCATGGTTCCAGGAACACCTCTGTAGGGGAATGCAGCTGCCATGGCAGCGTGTACTGCAAGGAAAACAGTAAAGCACAAAACATGAGATCAAACTGCAAAGCATGAGTAAGTTACTGAAACACGTTGAAGATGATAATAGAAAAGAACACTCCACTACGAATTCATTCAAAGAACCGCAACAACGTGGAAGACTAAGGGAGAACTAATAAAAATCAAATTTGTTGGTAATGAAAGGAAATCCGAATTAGAATGCAAATATTTGTGCAAATAGTTATAAATAAAATATCCAAACCACAACAATGAACTTCGCCGACTAACGTGGCTATCGCGCCTGAATTGTTTTCCTATCGTAAAGTTACCGAAACTAGCAAGCCACTGTTTATTAATTAAAGACACCATATAAATCTTATTTAACAGGTACAATTTTACATATTGTGCAGGTCAAACTAAAATATATCCAAGATATGGATATGCAACAGTTTTTTTCGGTTTCAATAAAGCAGTAATTAGCATGTTAGCTTAGCTTACTAATGTTACATATTACACAACAAGCAAACTGTTTCCGCAAACGAGCATTACCAAGAAAAAAAATATATACTTATTTTAAAATAGGCAAATAAAACGCTCCACGTGCTCGCAGAGAACAATATAACTTACTCGCCAGTAAATGTAGTTGTGTACTAGGTTTGTGCTCAGCGGAATGGCGTATCATGCACGTTGTGCATATGGGCTTGCGATCCACGAATAGGTTTTACGTATCTGGATGACTCTGCCTCAACGGAAATGATGTCTTTTACGACACCAAACGTAAGAAAATACGTAGGGCCAAACTTCCGGATGTGACACCGGATATTAAAAAAAAATTGTTCCATGTATTGTTCCATGACTATTTAATTGAATAAATAGAGAATAAAATACAGGAGAAAGAGAGACGATATTCATAAACAGAGACGAGATACAAACAGAGAAAGATTAAGTAAATCAGGCTGTTTAGTGATGTAGAATTTAATACAGAATAAAATTTGATACGTTTTTTATTTAAGCTATTTTAGTTCATTTTTAGTTCTAAACTGGTAAAATAGATTGAATTTGTGTTGATGTTTTTTTTTTTAATGTATTATAAGAGAGTAACACATTATTTTAAAAATTACATTACGTAAAAGGCATTTCAACAAAAACCTTTATTTTGTGGGAAACACAGTGATCAAAATTAGAGAACAGTAACCACTGTAGCATGAAACATGATTACAACAAACATTTTGGAGGGTTACAGCTGTCAGAAATTAGTAGGAATTGTAGAAGCCCCTGCTTTGAATGACTTCAGCACATCTGCGGCCGCAGGACATCACTAGTTTCTGCGCTGGTGTGATCTTGGTCCATTCTTCTTCCAGTCTCTTCCATAGTGACCTTGAAATTAAGGAAATTGTAGGTTGTTCTCTAAGCTTGATCTCCACTATATACCTGTTATTCTTTTTTTATGTTACTAAAGTCTGTTTTAACGTAACATAATGCGCCCAGCAGGTGGTGCAGTTTCATCTATTGATATCAACAACCATCCATTCAATCAGACTAAAACATAATCTGCTGCATGCAAATAAATTAATACATATTTAATAATAATAATAAATAGTACAGACCCAAAACAGATATGTTCCAATCTCTCTGCAAATCAAGCAATACCATGGCCACATTTTAAGGGAATGGGGAAAGATGTATGGGTTTTATTGTTCAGATTTACGTCACAAGAAAAACTAAAACCTTTGGCAAAAAATACTGCAGAGACTTGAGAAATACTGCATGTAAATTTTCAAAAAAAAAAATGAGAGTAAGACAGAGGAAATAGGATGCCACTGAAATATGTGATGCTTCCTTTTCCTCTAAAATAGCCTAGTTGTTGCCAGTTACATTCGAGAGAGCTATTCTAAATGGCCTCTTACATAACTCTTGCAGTACTGTTTACCATGTCAAAACAGCCATAGTTATCCATTATTTTTGCCCTGCCCTTCACCCATTCTCACCTACCACACCTTAAATGATTCCATGATTTCCCTCTTTTACAAACAGGATATCATTACTCCAGTATTCAGAGTCTCGTAGTCTAAACCAGCTGCAGTTCATCTGCGTTTGGTGGAGATCTTTTATTAATTTTGTCATTTCTCTTTGCTCTCATGCTGACCATCTGTTGTTTTAGTGATCACAGCATGCAATATGCAAGCAAGACAACTAAAGTCATTTAACTGTCATCATATAAAACCTTCATAAGTCACTTTTATGTAACTCACTAAATGCTATGCTGACAGAGATCTGTGTCTTTACCCAAATTTAGATCATACTGTGCTCTGGGATGCCAAGGCCACTCTTTCCTGTTGATGCCCAGAAATCATGCATGTCTCAATTAATGTCACAGGTCAGAGGATGTGTGTCTCTGTCATTTCCCCTCCTACAAGCTTCACACATTCAAAACTGACAATCACATTTTCTGGGAATCATATTTAAAAGCACTCAAGACAGACAATGTGTTATTTTGTAAACAGATTTATTCTTAAGAGAAACTCCCCAGCAAATACCAAACATCCCCCTAATGTTAGCATATGGTTTTAGAATTAAGAATGAATTATAATAATTAGAATTAATTATTAATGAATGTGAAAAATAAAAAATATAGATGATAGATAGATAGATAGATAGATATAGATAGATAGATAGATAGATAGATAGCATCCTAAAGGAATGCTGAGGTCAGAGATTTCAGGGTAAAGGTCAGTGGATTGTTTGTATCAGGACTTTACCACCTGTCTGTCAAGCCATTATATGTTGGAATGGGTTCCTCCGGTGTTTACCCCGGGAATGTCGAGGACAGGATGCTGAAGCCTAGAGGAAACCCTGACGGCAGACTCTCAGCACACTCAAAGCAGCTCAGCATTAGGAACCTTAAATTATAGTGCACATCTGGCTGTGAGACGAGCCTCGGACACCCTTTACACATCTATAACAACTTGCATTGACTCTCTATTTGGCAACAGGTAAATTCTACAGCACTAAACAACCTGATTTACTTCATCTTTCTCTGTTTGCATCCTGTTGTTTATGAATATCGTCCCTCTTTCTCCTGTATCCAACAGAGCAGAAGCACAAGTGAGGGTTGAAGCACCCCTCACACAGAGTGAATGCTAGTGAGGAAGGACAATCATACACAGTCAAAGAGACACAACATGATGGAGCTGAAAATCCAGCTGATACCCACAGGAGAAATCATACTGTCTCCAGGGAATAATGGAGAGTTTTACTGCCAAAGCTGCACTAAGGTAAGTCACTTTTGATAACTAATTTGCATAACTAAATAAACACAACTGCACCCAACAATTTCTTAACAAATTACTTATTGTGATAGCTGTCAGGATATTTTAAGGCTCAACAAAGCATGCCATAGATTTACATGTCCTGAAACCGAAGCTCATTAGAATTTTCCATGCTGTAGATTGTCAGCATATGCCTGTTTATAATAAAAGCAACCATTGCAAGTGATAGTATAATGAATGTGTGGTGTTGATTATGGTTTAGATTATGATTAACCTTTTGAGTGAATACCAAACTACAGTTTAGTTTTTTACAATACTCGATACACTGATAGCCAACTCAAAACTGTATTAGAAATCACAGAAAGCAGTAGCAGTACATAAATGGCTTTTGATATGGAATATATAGTCAATATTTTGTATCTGTGAGAGGCTTTTCCTTCGACAATATAATGATTTTGAGGAATGGGTCTGGATTGCTCCATTTAATAATAATACAGTCCAAGGAATGTGGGTGTATGCTAAAATCTGCAATGTGTGCAAGGAAAATTACCATTAACTCTGACAGAAGTTTGAATGTTTCTTATGGATGGCATAAATGTTACTAGTCTGGTTGGCAAAGAGGAAAATAGCTCACAGCCTTTAACTCTAATATGCACTCTTTTTTCTTCTTATTTTGTTGGGAAAACGTTCTCTGTGACTTGGTTTGTTCTGTTTTTGAAGAACTTTCTTCATGGTTCATTTAGTCTAGTGTAATGCTGGAATCTAGCTGATAAGAATCTGTTTTGCGCATATTTCGTTAAGCAAAAACTTTTCTAGTTTGAGAACCACTTGAATTTAGTGTCCATTTATTAGCGGTTGGAATGGAATGCTATGAGGAAATGACAGAAATTTTTGGAACAGCATACTTTTCCTGACTATCTGGCAAGGTCAAGTTACCCTTGCTGGGTGTGTTTGAGTATGAGTGAGTTTGAGATGGAAAAAGACAGGGAGGTACATTAATAAGAAAGTTTTGGGATGACAAACTAAAAACGCTGTACTATTATTAAATAACTGATCAAGGCTGGAACAATAACTATAATGCCTATTTCCACCCGACCGGTGACAGGAGACATGGAAACACCCTTTAGTACAGCCTGTCGGTCCGACATTGCCTTGTCAACAGGATACAATCTTTCCTCTCGGTTCAGCCAGTGCTTAATGTGGTTGATGTTGTTTTGGGGTTTGGTGGTCTGAACGTTGAAGAGCACAGTCAAGGGCAGAATCGATCACTCCACCCTCTGGCTACTGCATGATACTGCACTTCACATGGATTATCAAGCGTGAGGTCACCTTGCCATGTGGGGAATTTTGTTTCAGCAGTGTTTATTGATACAGCAAAATGTTTAGACACAGCTTTCCATTCACAGGGCATGTGTTATCCAGTGTGTGTGGACTGAAAAAGAGATGCTCAGAATGAATGGCTGTGATTCTGTGAGTCACGTTGGCTACTTAATAACATAATCAGCTTTGGTCCAGTCAAATAAAATCTGAAATAATGGTTGATTTGACCATAATAATGTCAGTGGTAAATCTTTGTATTAGATTAAAAATATTTGTTAGTACATTTAAAGTTTACTGATACATTTGCTTGTCATTGTACCACATTAGGGGCCTTCAACAGCGGGTCTTCAGCTCCTGGGGTCAGTATCAGTACTGCAGGGAGTTTGCTAATTATTACTAAAGCTCAAATTAATTTTTGTAACAAATAAATAAATAAATAAAGTTACATTTTGGTTAAATATTTTATTGCCCTCATTAAAATGCATTAAATAAAATTAAAATGTTTAAGTAGCCTATATGACTCCGCATATTAATAATGATTATTTCAATGGCTTAGCAATCTTGATAAAATGCAGTAAAACATTCATGTAAGTGCAATCATATGTTATGTTATTATAGGGATCCTAACACCTAGTCCTATCATGCAAACTGTTATTATAGGCCTGATTTATAGGCCATACAGTATGTAACACCTGCTTCTTACTCCAGATTATTATAGTTAACTAAAACTAAAACTATTTAAAAAATAATTATTTGAAGTAAAAATTAAATTATTTTATTTCAGCTATAGCTGCCAAGCCAACATTTCTCATTTTCATTTCAGCTTGATACTAAAATAACTAAAACTAAAACTGAATAAAACATTGGGAAAAACCTATATGGACATTTAAGAAAAACTAATAAAATGACAAAACACAGCGAAATTACCAAAACTAACTAAAATTTAAATGAAAATGGAAAATATATAAAAATAATATATATAGTATCTCATAGTATAGTCTCACAATCTCATAGAAATAGTATCTCAATGATTCTAAAATAACACTACAATCTATACACCAGGGGGTCATTGAAAAAAGATCGAGGACCCCTTGAAATAGTCTTTGATGGTGCTTCTATCTCTTCTGTATTGTCAATAGAGGGCGATCAACGCTAGCGTGCTTTCGAGTAACGCCTACCTTATCTCAAACGCCACATGCAAGCCAACATACCGCAGGATTGATATATTTGTCAAAATATAGTTATTTTAAACTAAAATTACACATACAAAAGAGTCTATTTGTTCTGAATAAGCACGTATGCTTACGTACCCTATGTGAGGAAAGTAAGCTGTGCTGTTATTTCTGCTTTTAAATATAAAAATGAATCTAATGAATGAAATAGGCTAGTCTTAATCAAAACGCAATGTAAATATTCATTTAAATGTCATATCTGTATTGTGATCAAGTGAAAGTACATGTGATCATGTTATTAGTCGTGGGATTGCTCGTGAACTTCCTGGTACAGCGGCTCTAGAGAGAGAGAGAGAGAGAGAGAGAGAGAGAGAGAGAGAGAGAGAGAGAGACATTACTGAGTACATGTTCCATGGCATAGTACTTACTTTAAACTAGAGTATGATAATCTGTGTGTTTGTTTTTTACACGTAAATCTCCAGCAGTCATTTTTACTACATTTGCTTTACTGATCTAAGCAACTGTAAAAGCGACTTTTCAGTGTCCCACTGAGGTAAATATTCTCGTCGGTGGGATTCACACAGGAGGGAAAGGTCCAGATTACAGCTCAAGTTTGAGAACAAGTTTCCCATCACTGCTGGGTTTCTCTTATGCAGTATAACAGTGAGCGACCGGTGCTTTTGGACGTTGCAGGATTTGAAATCGGCGTGCTTTGATCAAGGTAAGTGCTTGACACGCCATTCATTTCAGTTAGAAATAGAATCAAAGCACAAAGTCAGTTTACGCTTCATGACGTTCGAGTTTTGAATTCAGACGTGCGTATGTGAGTGTCAGTGTGCGGATTGTCAAGATAATGTTTCGTTAAGATTGGTTTCTTGCATATTTGATATGTCCGGTTGATGAACGAGTCGGATCTTTTCAATAAATTTGTTGAACCACAAAACCGAACTGAACGATTCCTTCGAGCAGTTCTCTCTCGAGTCGTGAACCGATAAGCGATGATGGTAAGAGCATTTGAACCGAGGAATAAACGATGGCTACATGGCCGAAATAAAACACGAATATTAAAAAAAATCCGGAACGCATGAATTTACAATAAATAATCACTCGTATTAAAGGAACAATAATTAAAAAAACGTGACCACGTGATTACGTCATAACGTAAAATAATCATTTTTTAAGCGTTTTTTTTTAACAAACCGTTGGAAAGAACTGATTCGCGGAAAAGTGTCGGACTTTCCAACACTTTGCTCAAACATTAGTGAGTTCCCTAAATAGACAGCATTTTAGGGCGTCATAGGCACGTGGCAGCTTACTAGGGTTAGATACACAGCAACTGTCATCTCACCTGTTACTTTACTCCATGTTATTTATGAAAATACTACCCTGACCTGTTCAGATCTTGATTCAAATGCATGAGGGTTATACAAACAAACTCCCATCTCCAAAGCTTAAAAGTGCAAAACTATGGGCATGCATTGAGCTCCTTTTGTTAGGGTGTGATATGGCGGCTTCAGACCATATTTTTTCTAGGATGGAATGACAAGGGGAGTTAAAGGAGACCAGCTGTTAATTATCTGTCATTCCAAACTAACCTCCCTCAACCCAATTACATTAGAAATTCCACTGGGAATATACTATCAGCATCACCCTCAGAGGCCAAGCTTGTAAAATTGTGTTGAATGTGTTATTTTTACTACACTGTCAGGGTGCATATAAGAGGATGTTTCTTTCACCTGTGCTGCCAGTTGAGCAGCACAGCGCTGATGACATCTTAAGGTCGTTGGCAGGTCATGTCCTCAAGTGTCCTCACTCACATCCCCCCTTGTGTATCATTCCTTTTTCCATATGTTGCAAAACCTAACGAATATGCGCCTGTCAAATGAAATGGATTACTTACAGTTGGAGATCTATTTTATTGTGCAACACTGCATGGATGGTGTAACTAGTATAACTGACAACAATTAGAAGCTGACAGTTGTGTAGGCTTCTATAAACAGATGAATAATGCTATAACAGTCATGCTTAAGGTGTTTGTGCTGTGCATTTTCCAAGAACAGTGTTGTCATAATGAGTAAACAGTGTTTTTAATTTAGAATGGTAGTTTTGCAATGGTAGACATCCCCGCAAAACTGATTATATTATTAGTTCCTCCCCAAAAAAATTACTCCCTCAGGCCATCTAAGATGTAGATGAGTTTGTCTCTTTATCAGGACAGTTTTGGAGAAATTACATCTTAGCAGTACATCTCTTGTTTGCGGATCCTCTGCATTGAATGGGTGCCGTCAAAATGAGATCTGATATAGCATCACAATAACCCGCCGCATGTCATATGCACAGATTAAGCACTGTTTACAAGCGAAAACAGTTCTAAACAAATATGTTGGTGGATTTTGATGTGAGAAGACAACAGGCAATGAACCTTTTCCACTTGAGAAAGCGTTTTCATGGATTATGGACTTTTGGCCAGAAGCGAAGGTCTGAAGTTAAAATGCTTTAATGATAGATTTTTTT